ATATTTGATTTGCACACCAATGTTCATAGCAACATTATTCACAGTGGCCAGGACATGGAAGCAACTGAAGTGTCCTACAATAGATGACTGGCTAAATGAGCTGTGGAATGAAATATTACTCAGTCATAAGAAGAGATGAAATACTGCCATTTGCGACAACATGGACAGACCTCAAGATAATCATGCTAAGTGAAATAAGCCAGATTGAAAAAGTTGAAAATCACATGATTTCAATTATATGTGGGATCTACACCTAAAAGCAACAAATGAGCAAGACAAACAAACAGACTCATGGATATAGACTACAGCGTAGAGGTTACCAGAGGACTATATACTAGTTTTTACTATTGGGGTAGGGAAGGAGGTGGGAGGTAGACGGGTAAAGAGATTCAAATATAGGGTTTAGGGGGAGGGTGATGTGGTAAAGAGGATCAAATATATGGTAGCTGAGGGAAACTAGACTTTGAATGGTAAACACACAACAGAATATACAGATGTCAAATGATAATGTACACCTGAAAATTATATAATTGTATTACCCAGTGTTATCCCAATAAACTTAATTTAAGAAAATTATTATAAAAGGAAATCAGTGAGCTAATTAAGTCCTGCTATTTCAAAAGAGAAAGATGAGATCCACTGACTAAATGACTTGCTAAAGCCCTACATCACCTTTGCGTTGGAGCTAAGACCAGTATTCATATTCTTGGAGTCCCATTCTAGGGCATTTTGCACTGTTCCAGGTTACTGCAAGTTAGTAAATTGTGAGCCAAGTGAGAAGTATTACAAGTATTATAACATCTTACAAATATAGAGTGGTTTTATAAAGTGCTTTCAGAGAGGCTTTTGCATTTTATTCTTCTTCCTTCATAGTTATGTGATCAAAAAAATACCCCCTGATTTCCCCTTTTGATTTTCACTGCCATTGTCTTAGTCCACATCAACTTAATTTTTCCCTTGACTTTCTGACATAGCCTTATCATGTTTTCACAAAATTATCTAAACCTTATTAATGATAATTCAGATTTCTTAGTTTGGTATATAAAAATCTATGTGACTTGGATCCATTTCACCTAACCTTGCTCTGTGATGACTCATTACCTTCCAACAAGAACCCTTAGATACTCTAATTATTAGTGACAATCACAAAGACTCATTTATAACTTCATTTCTTATGTTGATCATGCTGTGTGGAATACCTTCTCTTACTAAGCAATTTAAATCATTTTCTTCTTTTGAAGTCTACCTTAAACTTTATGCAATCCATCTTTCTTGATTAATACAACCTACACTTACTGTTCTTGTTAATTAATTCAATAAACATTTAATACCTCCATATGCCAGCTCTACACATAGTGCTGAGAGTACAGTCACACAGCACTAACCTTACTACAATCAAAGATCTCACTATTTAGTATAGAAACTACGTAGGCAAACAGTTATACTAGAAAATGATAAATGCTCAATAGGGGTAAATATGAGATGGGAATGTTAAAGAAGACACTCTAATTGTGTGAAGAGGTATTTAGAGATAGCTTCCCAAGATGATATCTGTCTTCTTGGTTCCATACTTTCTTATTTTTGTACACATTTCACCATGATTTCTTTTTTTCTAGTAAATTTCTACTGTTCTAATAGACTCTCCTTTGCCATTAAAAACTACACAGGTCTCTATAATCAGACATTTCGCTCCACTTTTACTAATTCCTCAAGTCTTATTTCAAGCCCTTTTCTTGCCCTAGTGCTTTCTCACATTTACGAACAACTGTCTGCACCATTAATTGGACATAAATTCTACACTATTTTGTATTACTATTTAAGGTTCTTATTTTATGTATCTCATCTTTAAAGCTTAATTAAATGTCTGGAAAGATCCCGAAAGTCAGAGACCAGATCATTTATGTCATTAATTCCTTAAGGCATTTAGCATTGTACGCAAATTATAGATATTTAGTTTAGAGTTTTATTTCAGTGTTTGAATATTTATTTTTGTAACTGTACTTCCATCATTTTAAGAATTCATTCATTCAACAAATATTTTGAACACCTACTCTGTGCAAAGCACCCTACCAAAAGCCTTTAGGGACACAGAATTCATAATAGTCAAGATCATAAAATATCCAAAGTAACAAAAGCAGAAGAGGCCCCCCACACACGTACAAAAAAAAAAAAAACCCCAAAACAATTATCCAGCCCAAAACATCAATAGTGAGAAACTCTGTACTAGAGCAGAAACTTCAAGTGAAAGATGGATGGATATACTACAAAAAAAAAAAAAAAAAAAAAAAAACCCAAAACCTGGCAGTGTGCAGTAAACCTACATAACTGTGGGTATTATTGTTAAAGAACTGTGTGTAAATATAGAAATTCAGAACATTATAGAAATGTAGCAATGACAATGTAGAAATGATATAACAAAAGTCGGCAGGGAAAGTGAGAGAGGAAATTACAGGTAATACAGGTGTGGTGATTTAAATACCTTTAACAGCCGTGGATCAGAAGGCAATAATTTAACATTGTAAATCAAGTTATAGACTAGGCATATTTTAACAGTATAAACGTTGACACTAAAGCAATTAATGCAATCAACTAAAATCAGGTGGTAGAGAAGACTAAAATTGGGAAAGAAGAAGAAATATGCTAATTTTATCATTGCTTATAAATAAGGAGTCAATAGATACCATATACAGAAATAGAGGATTAAGGGTATTATATAAAGTTATAAAGTGGCTCATCTTTACTTCACAGCAGTTATCACAGGGCAGTTTTATATTTACTTATATAATTATTTGACCCCACAGAGGATAACTAATGAAGAAGACTGGCATGATCTATTCCGCTCACTATTATATCCCCAGTTCCTAGCACTGTGCTCATAAATAGTAAATTCTTGTTTTGCAGCAGTTCTATAAAGTGTCCGTGAACACCAAATTATCCAACACTGAGTTGTGGCTTCCAGGGATAATAAAGGGTTAGGCTCCTGCAAGCCTCTGGTCTCAAAATTATCTTACTTAACATATATTGTTGATTCATTAACATTGAACTCACGGCCAACCACACTGTAACTCATGTCTGAAGTAAGCACATATTTTTCTCTGTAAGGTGCATCACAGCCTTCTTGTGCTTTGGAAGACTAGACAGCCCTTGAGCACTATGCTTGTGGGATATGCTACTCAGTGAAATCACCAACACAAAGTACACTTATTCAAAAAAACATGGCATTAAATAGATCAGAAAAAAGGACAGTTGTTTACAGTATGAGACCTGAAACAAGAAGGTAGAATGTACCTGTTCAACCTCAAATGTGTGAGCAAATCCAGAATGACTGAGAGTTATTATATATTCTTCTCTCCTGTACACAGTTCAACCTACTATAAAAGGAGTGAGAAAGAGCTCTATATACAGCTCTGAGTGTTCTTCACGATATATTGTTGAGTTAAAAAGACAAAATACAAAACAATGTACAGATTTGAGGGTTACAAATAAATGTTAGCAGTTAGTTAAATTTGCACTTACAGAATCCACAAATAATGAGAATAAACTGTACTTGTAGAATTGAATTGGATGCTAACATCTTACGACAAACATTTGTCAGTTACTGGTTATTAGTGTCTTTATTGTGATTTTGAGCTGTGCAGGTTGAGGACTTTCTATGAAAAATAAAGTTAATAACATATCCGATTAATATACATACCTGTACGAACTTTCTTCTTATGTAAAGGAAGCTTAGGGAGTTTTGGAGGTAAAGGTCTTCGAAGAAGTTGTGGGTGGTTTTGCATTTCAATTAATAATAAGCACTGTTTTTCACAGCTGTTAGTCAAGAACTGAAAAGCTTTTGAATATCTTTAAGTTGTTGCTGAAAGATAATTCATTCGAATCTAGGTTATAACTAATGAAAATCATTCTGTGCTAATACTATACTGAGTCCACGTAGAATTCCTATATATATATATATAAAAAAAAAAAAGGTAAGGAAATCATTCTTTAAAACTTCTAGAAAGAACCTAGGTAAAATTTAGGTTTATAAATCAGAATTTTAAAACACATATGCTATTATTAATCAAGATCGCTCTAAAATTTCCCATGTTAGCATAAAATTCAATCTGCCAGTGCTCCCTCAGCTAGTAAATACTGATTTTCCAGGACAGTAGAAATGATACTTAATTTTTTCTCTACCTCCAAAATGTAATCACTTAATCTGGAAAAAGTTTTTGCTCAAAAGAATGAGAAAGTACCCCCATGACCCACAATATCTTACATCTAAGTTGTTATTTTTCTGTAATAATGGCTTATTTTAAATTTCAACCACTATAATTGGGCCATAACTATTTAATTCAAAAACAAGATAGTCTTCAGTATAATGAGATTTTCCAGGATCTCTGTCTCAATTAGCACTTTATAGAAATGATTCCGGAAGACAGAAACAGAAATGTGTCTGGTACATCAAAGTGCCTGGTACCTCACTATTCTGTTGATAGTTTAGAAGAAAAAGCTTTGGAGCTGCACAAATGGGCCGTTTTACCCCCAAAATATAACTGCACATAAACGCTCAAGGTATGCTTCCTGGTAGTACATCTCACTTGATGACAGCGATTTTCCTTCCTTATCTGAAGAGGTGCTTGGAAACGTTGGACTCCTCAGAACAGCCGGATTTTCCTTTTATCTCATTTTCCTCGAAATTTAGGCAACGAGGTCGGGGGTCTGCCAGCCGGAGGCAGCCCAGAATAAAAGCACCCAAGCCACCCTTACTCCCTAGCAGGGTGCAGCCTGAGGCGAAGGAAATAGGTCCTACCAACCGGAAGCTTGTACTCACGCCGCCTGCAGGATGCGCAGGCGCCGGAGGCGAGGGGAGGGAGAGGCGGGGCGCACGCGGGCGGAAGCCTGTGAAGTCGGCCCCGCCCCACCGCACCGCGCGCGGAGCCCAGTGCCCTTACTCAGACCTGGCGCGGGACTGCCGGGGCGGCTGTGGGCTGGAGGGGCTGAAGGCGAAGCCTGCTCCCCGTGCGGCTGCTGTACGGAACCGCGTGGTGACAATCGTTATTGCTATTTTATTCTTAATGACAATGATCACTATTATTTATTTACTTTTCTTGGTTACACCGTTCTTAACTCGGATGTCCAGGGTCGGGCTTGCATTCTTTAATGCTCCACTTGGGCGCAGCCGGTCCCGTTGCTGATTTTGCAGTGCCCCGGAAAAGCGAACGTTGTTTTCTTTCTCTTTCTTGAATGCGAACTGTTTTGTCTTTCTGATCCTTTAAAGTTCCTGGATGAAGAAGAATTGCTCAGGAATAGGGGAATTCAGAGTCCAAGCGAGGTTTTAAAAGAAACCCATTTCTCACTGTCACAGTCATGTGTTCTGATTGTCGTAATGTGACTTGTCTCCTTTGTCATGGTGTTGATGAACCTGTACGTACAGTGAGCAATACATCGTGCGTGTTTGCATGTATGTGCGTGTTTCTCTGGAAATTTGAGGGAGAAGGAGCGCGAGAGAGGATTTATTAGGTAGATGTGTAAAACCCAACTCAGTAAATTAGATGGAGCTTCCTACCAGTCTTGTTTGTTTGTTCGTTTGTTTTAAGCACATGTGTAGAGACTTAAGTAAAGGTTTTGGAAGATGAGAGACTTCTGTATAGCTTTTATGATCTTTCAAGATTTACTTTCTAACCAAGTCTTCCTTTTTCTTCTTAGGAGCAAGCAGGCATTTTAAAGCAGTGGGTGAAAAAGCATTTCATCAGACTGGGAAATATTACGCACCTTGTTTTTCTTTAGAGTATTAACATATGGGTTCTTTTCCTTGTAAGATTACTATACTCCAATTAGACTGCCTCCACAGACCATGAATTTTTTCCACTTTTGCCTGTGTCTACTTCAGAGATTGATTAGCTTCTCAGAAAGAGGAAAGTTGACAATAGGCAAATCTGACTGCTAGGTTTTTGTCTTAAGTAATATTTATTGTGCATATTTTGTAAGTGTGAAAAATGTTCATATTTTTAAGCATAAAAAATGTTTATGTTCCAATACATAAATTGAGAGAAAGAACTACTGGCCAGTGCTAGGCATTTATAATATGCTAGGTATTGCATAGTCAAGACAATGTGCTTAACAATCTTTTTAAAAATGCTTTGTCACACATGGAATTGGGCATCAGGCTTCATTTCCTGCAGATTTCTTCTAGCAAGTAACACAACCTAGGGCTATTTAATATGTTACCTCCAAACATGTGAATATTTTGTCTTCTACTACTTACTGTTTCTATCAGCACCAAACATTTAAGCAAATGAGATAGTTACTTTGAAAATCCATGATTTGGTGTGTTTTATATGTATTTGTCAGTTATTTTAACACATCTTACGTGCTTCATCTATGGAAATGATGTATAATGAAAGCTGGATTTGGAAGGCACAAATTATATTCAATATGGATTGTATTATTATTTTAATTTAATAAATATTTAGTTTATTTAGTAATAATAATTTATTTAAAAATAATAAAAATATTTGAAACTATTACGTTAATTTCCTTTTTTCCTTTTTAAAAAATAATCATGTCTCTTTAAATAATATAGCTCCTTCTTTGATTCTAAGTACAGTACAGTCAGCCTATTTATTTGTCCCATTAGCTTAGCAATTTGGTAGAACCATGTGATGAAGCTTGTCACACTGAACCACAACACTTTCACTCTCTCAGCAGATTGGGCAGGGTACTAGTGAGCCCCAAGGATATACATCCTATGTTTTTGTTTTTATTATTTTGCTAAAATGAGATAAAAGCTTTATGCAAAAGAAACCCTAGGCACTCCACAAATAATGTTATTGATTTTCCTAAATAGTGGCGAATCTCAGATTCACTGTTGGTGACAAGACACAGCTCTGTTGGAGTGGTGTAGAAGTTGTTGCTAGAAATCTTCACAATTTTCTGCATACCTCTGTCCTCTCGTTTGTTTGTTTGTTTGAAAACAGAACATAGGTTTAATAAAGTTTGGTCAGTGTAGATTTAATCCAAATTTTACATTATGGAAATAGAGTAGTTTGTATTTCTATGCTATTGGTATTTAAAGTTCTTTTAAAAAATGAATAGTTATTTTTGAGTGTGCACGGGGTAAACTGTTGAGACCCCAGGGTTACCCAGGGCACTAAAAAGTGTTTTCTTTATCTGAATTTACCTGATCATTTAATTATGTATGCTGGGAAATGTCTTTACTTTCGCCAGCTTAATGGCTTAAATGTATACTTTTATTTTGTGTGTTTTCATTCTGCAGAGAGAACAGTTTTATATTTTCTTAAAGATTAATAAGGATATTTTGAAGAAGCTACTTTACTTTTTACCTCTCATGTTACTGCAAAGACAAAAACTTTATTTCTGTTCTTAATTATTTTTTGGCTAGTTATTTCTTTTTGTCTTTCAGGATGATAGTTATTTCTTTACTTTGTTTAAGCTACAGGGCAATCCTGGGATTCCTAGCAAAAAAAAATACTAATAAGGAAATGTCATGCAACCTGCATCATAGAATTAAAAAAACAACAACTTTTAAACATAATGAAAAGACAATGTTTATCTGTTTTTAAAAGCATATTCATGAATTTACTCATTCATTCCAGAATGTTTTTTGTGAAACACTACTATGCATAAGGTACTTTTCCAGGTGTTAAACTTTAAACTTTATTAAAACCACTTGGAAAGATTCATTTGAGGCTTTATAATTTTAGACATTGAGATGAAGTTTTAAATCATTTTCAAAGGCTTTACTTATCGATAATTGAGGCTTTTAAAAATGTTAATATTGTTTTTGTTATGTTGCTTGGGTAGAATAGTGTTATTTTTTCACACTACCCCAATACTCAGAAACAATTTTATATTTCCTTAGCTTCAGTCATTTTCTTAGACTGCCTATACCCAGCTGATATTAGATATCTGTGTATATTGTGTGATCGTGTCCACCAAAAAGAGGTAAATAATATTTGTTTCCTTATTGTTAGGTTGGCTAAGCAACATTACCTTTAGTGCTGTGAATGATAACATATCAATGTTGGTTACTTACTGTGTGGAAGGCACTATTCTAAATGTTGACTTTATGTTTTATCTTACTACACAATTCTCATGTTAATTGAAAATTCTGGTAACTGCATCACATTTCAATCAAAGACAGCATCGCATAGCTCGGCTTGGCTGGATTCAAATCCCTGACTCACACGTGTTAGCTCTGTGCCCTTGGTCAAGCTGCTTAACCTCTCTAAGGCCCTGCGGTTTCCTCACCGTATATAATTGGGGTAAAATGGTATCTAACTCAGGGTATTGTGAGGATTTCAAGAGAGAATCTATGTCAAGAACTTAGTTTTGTGCCAGGTGTAGAGTTTTAATTAGATGATAGTTGTTAGAAAACAAATGGCCCAGGATTCCTATCTATATTGTGTCTATTTTATGTGACGATAGTTGATATTAACCAAAGTGTTTGGTTTGAAGGGCTAGAGGGTGAATCCTGAGCATTTATCTCTAAACTATCACACTTCGCTAATGTCTCTAGTAAGTTGGAGAACCTAGTCTGCAGCTCGCAGATTGTCAAATAAGTGCCATGCTCTAGGCAGCTTCCAACATTCTGTCACTGGTCTTTATACCCATCTGGCTGCAGAGAACCTGTGGGACAGCTTATGCCTGAAAGAGTACAAGTACACTAATGTAAGTAAGGAGGCCTTGGCTTGTCCACGTGAGTTGAGTCCGTGAACTGCTGTTAGCTTTGACTGAGCTGGACTGAATACATGATGAATTTTAACCAGTGACCCAAGGATGAAAGCTGCCTTTTACTCAGCATCCTTGAGGCAGCTAGTGAGCCGAACAATCATGGAAGAGGCCAAAGGGTTGCAATGTGACTGCCCTTTGAATGGCTAGATGGAAAAGTGTTCCAAAAGCATATCATCTTTCTCAG